TCAAACACTGTAACAACAGTGACTTTTTCAGACCCATTTCTAACTTATACCTATCAAACAAGAGAGGAACATGAGCATGAACATTTAGGTCACCTTTCAGTGTAGCCCATGTAGCCACCAGAGGACTTGCTGAATTGTCCCAATGATAGAGTCATTTCTTTCATCCTTATGATATGATTATGCCCTGAGGATGCTTGTGTCTGATGCTACACTCTTTGACTTCTCACCATGTAAATGATCAAAACCCTGAATTAATTTTAATAGGAAGTTTTAAAAATCAGAACACATTTTGTAATCTTCAAGCATTTACATATAACTGAAAACTCTCACAAAACTGAAAACTCAGAATATGTCTCTTAGAGACAGCTTCATAAACAATTTCCAATGATTTCTCACTTAATTATCAGTGGAGATACTTGAAAAAATCCCTCAACCACTGCTTTTTAGGAACTCATCTGTTCCTATAATTGATACAAAGTCCTTAGAATAGTAATGGCATAATAACAGCCAATAATAATGGCAGCTAAAAAAGTTGGTTTGTATAAGCCAAACATCAGCAACATGATGAACAATCATGAAACAAAAGTCTTTTTTTTTTTTCTGCTGATATGCAGCACCGATGCAAATAGGGAAGTGTATTCATTCCCACAGACAGTAAAATTGAAATAATAGTACTTTTCCTTCTTGCCTATGCCTGTATTTTTGAAGATCTTAAGAAGAATTTAGCAGTGCTGCTCAAATATATGTTGTAACTTCTTATCTCATAGCTTATATATTGAGCTTATATTTTTCATAGCTTGGGATATTAGGAAAGGGAAGACAGTGAAAGTCTACAACACAAAGCTGTCTAATTTTATCATGTCATTGATGTGTTGTCTAAACTTAGATGGGATGTGTTTGAACCTAAGTGCCTAAAGAAGTTAGATATTGTAGATGGAAAAGATAGCACAGCTGGACCCCAGTCAATCTGGGGGGCATGACCTCTTCAGATGTGGCCCTTCTATTTTGTTGCGTATGATTTAGATCTGTAAACAAGGTCATATTCCACATTAAAGTCTGCATTGTACAGAGAATTGGATTGTCATGAGAGTAAATAGTCCATTAATTGTGAGGTTCTTGAAGGAAGTCTCGTGAGCAGTGGTGTTTCACAATAGTGGTTTAGGTTGCATTACAAAATGAAAATATAAAACTTACCAGAGGAAGACTGTATGCCTGGCTGTTTTCTACCTGTGAGTGTTCCTGTCAGACTTTGGTGATATTATGCTTATTTTATTGTATTGGCTAATAGAAATAAAAAATGAATTACGTCTGTTAGGTTCAAGGTTCTCTTTCCTAGCAGTATTAATATTTCTCATGGTTCATCTCATTTGTTCATGTACTTCATGATTTCTAGAACTAGTGCGTTCCATTCGTGATTATTTACTGCATTAACAAATTATGAACATCGATATTTAAGCTGTTATATTATAACTTCTGTGGCTGATGGTTTTTGCAGCTGAGCACCATTTGGCAGATAGAGTTTTCCACAGTGCTGAACTCTTAAGTAAGGATTTGTTGATGTGACAGGACGTATGTTAGGAGCCTGTCATCATCTGTTGAAGTTTTTGAGATACATCCTTATTCCCTGTGAAGAGTGTGTATTCTTTGTTCCATTGTATTCCAGCTATTCGCACGGATTTAAGTTGATTAAGCTGAAGTTTTGTCTTCCTCAGAGGATTTGCATTTCTAATATTGAGAAATTATGACAGTGATCCCCAAGTAAAAAATTCAGAATAAATGAATACTTGATGATCACGTTTTGACACTTTTGATGGAAGGAATGCCACTTAAACTTTGTATTTTAAAGATAGAAAAGAATCTGGAAAGGGCCCGGAAACTTCCTATTGCTCACACTGTGTTTGTCCTGTCATTAAACAGAAAAACTTTTCCGGGAACCAGGGTGACATCCCCAAATTCACTTATAAACGTGCTTTTGTCTCCCCATATTGATACCATATCTGTCATGACCTCCGAGCGTGCTGTCCGTTTACTCCTGCATCATCTAAGGCGTCAGTACATTGAATTTAAATCTGAGATCCCTGTTTAGATCAGGGATGTGGCTGTAAGCTAAAAAGTGCTAGTGTTTAGCATTTCTACTTTCTACAGAAGAAGCTGTATGGGTGTTCTGGACAGTGACCCACCGAAAATCTAGTGCCTATTTTTCACATATTCTGCTTGCTTGCTTGCTTGTTCTGAATATAAAATCAGGTCAAACTGTCAGTCTATTCATCTATTTGTCTTCTGAGAATTTATATAGAATACTTTGGTCTGTTTGTATTTCTTTTCTAAGAAAAAAAAAAGAGATTTTAGAGATTTTAAACATATTTTGCTGAAACCTGACCTTCCTGGATGATACTAAATAGTTTTCTTTCACTAATGGATACAGAGCTCTTGGAGCTCTCTGGAGTTGAGACACGGACATGCGTTCCTCATTGTCAAAACACATAAATATTGGTTCCCTCAGGTTATTTTTACCTAGTCTCCAAGGAGGCATTCCAGTGGATGGACCAGTCTAGTACAAAAGTCAACAGACAGACAGTCTGGCTCCAATTTCATGTCTCCATACTAACCTAACGAAAGTCATTTGCATTCTGGTATACAGAATGGCTGTAGTTGATCTTGACTCCTTTGTGTGCTAGCAATATCTGGCTAAATATTATGTCTCTGAAAGCAAAAGAGTTTTGCTTTTTATTCAGCAAATCATTTGGGGAAAACTTCAATTTTTTAATTAATATTATTATTCTTTTCTCTTTTGTGTGTGCTTGTGCAAAGTAGCACAAAATACCACTGGCAGAAGTTGGGTCTGCCTTTTATTCGTTTTCTCTGTTTGCTGTGCTTAAATCTTTATCAATTGCATGTTTCTTGCTTTCTTTTCAACACTCAGTTCTTTGTGCCACCTGAATCAGTTTGCAACTTCTGCTTCAAGTTGAAAGACAGTAAAAGGGTGATTTTCATGTTCCTCTGCATTCTGCAAACATTATGAAACCACTAGACTGAGAAAGCTGCTTCCTCTATCTGTTTCTGTATGTGAAGAGGTGGACTTAAGTGGCAAGAACTTGTACTTGACTGCTAATACTTGTTAAACAGTTGCAGTGCAAGCTTGGGTAAATTCATTAAAGGAAGATTTGTTTGTGACTTTTTTTCAGCAGAAGTTATGAAGTCTCTGGTTTATTTTATTTTGCATGTAGTACGTAACAATATTTCACACTCGCGTGTGCAAAACAGAGGCATAGGAAAACTCACTCTTAGAGTTAAAAAGTCAGGCATAGCTGGTTACACAAATACTACTAATAAGAAAATCATAAAAGCTTTGTCACATTTATGTCTTTCAGCTATACAAGGCAAGGCAGGAAATTGTGATACATAGTTGGTAGTTTCTGTTAAAATAAATTGGATTATAATGGAACATTTTATAGCATATTTCCGCATATAAGTCTGCTTCTACCCAGGAAGGAGAAAAAGGAGCTGAGACTCAAAAGTCTAAGATTCCAGTCTTGAAAACATTCCAGCAAATAACTTAACTCATGTAAATAAAAATGAGTTACCACCTGTGCATAAAGTTATGCACATGCCTTCATGTTCATGGGATTGAGGTAAAACGTATTGTGAATTCCCTTTACTATATGTTACAAAGAGGAAAAAAAAAGAAAAATTTACTGGGCACTGAAAAAACTGTAAGTGAAAAGAGAAACTAGCATGTTTGTACCTAACGACATTTTGATAAAAGTATTAGGCCTGATGAGGAATCTCGTGAGCCCAGGGCTTTTTATGTTTTGGTTTGTAAGTATGTGGGATTTTACAAGTCTGTTTGTGGTGTATCTTCATCATCCCCGTGGAAAGCAGACATTTGCACGTGCTGCGCCATTCACCCGGTGGCTTTTGGATCCAGTGAACATCATTGCAGAAGACATAGGAGATCAAGTTATCTTACTGGGCACTGCAGTTTGTTTTTGCTTCTGAAAAGTAGTGGACCAGCTCAAAGGTCAACATAAAAATATTTCCTTTCACTCTCACTGGCAGAGAATTGGTCTAACTTTGGATCATTACAATTTCTTACGCGCTATTCTTCCCTTCAAGTCTGACTTTTTCATGAGCAAGGGTCAAAATATGTCTAAGTTTCAGATTTTACCATTAGTTTTTAAGTGCTTTGGGGCAGAAGCCATCTTTTATCCTGTCTTTGCAAAGACCTGAAATAGGAGACATCTGATCCTGATTGGGAAGCCTTTGATCACAGTACTAACAAATGATCATTTGAGGTTTTGTGTGATTTTGTTGCCAGATGGGAATATAGTGGGAAACATTAAGTCTTTTAATCTCAACACATTTAAGAAAGGATTTCTGAAAACTCACTAATGTCAATCAGAGTTTAAATTATGAAATACAGATTTTTTTTCTTATTTTAATGAGAAGAGGATCAAATCTACTTTATAAGTAGAGTACTGCAACAACCTTAATGTATAAAAGACATCAAATGAATTGTACAGTAATTGACCAGGTGTCACATGGAACAATTTTGTTCCTTCCTGTGCTATTGTCTTGGTACATAGACTCAGAAATATCAGTTATTGTTCTATGGCTCATTTTTCTTCTTCCTATTAATCAACAGTTAAGATAGATAGTTATATATTTTTATAAGAAGTTCAAGGATGAAAAATGCAGTATATTCTTATTATAATAAACATTTCTCTTTTGAGAAAATCATTCTGCCTTTACAGATCTCCATTACACATGATCATTAGTTTTCCCCTTGGTCATAGTTTAGCCAGGTTGTAAATGCCTTGACTTGTTGAAAATCATGTTTCAACAGCCCCAGCTTCCCAAATGTTCTCACATTATTTCAGCAGTCTCTTCTTGTAGTTTTATATTAAAATAACTTAATCCTGAAATGATATTGCTGAAGTTTATTGCAGGATTAATTTTTCAAAACACTTATTATACAATAGCTTTTAAAGTAGTTATGATTTACCTCAAGGGTAATTAAGTAGTTAATCTTGTTTTCTGTTTTTTAAGGATCCTCCAATGGCAGTGACCCTCGGCCTGCGAATGGAAGAAATGATTTTTAATCTTGCTGATACACATTTATTTTTTAACGACTTGGAGGTAAGAGTCAAAGGAACACCTAGGTTTTAACACAGCAGCTTTCCTGTGTATTCATGTTTGTTAAGTGTGATACTACGTGCTTGTCCAAACCTCCGTCAGACTCTAATGAGACAGATGAGACGGACCTGTGTATTTCCCATTCTTTCTCTTGAAGTTCTCAAAGTTTGCTTTCAATGACTGCTACCATCGAACCAAGAGTCACTCTTCTCTCGACACTCTTTGAGTAGCCTTTCGGCTTCCTAGCCCTCCTACTTTCCTGCTCAAATGATCAATATTCTTCATTTATTTCAAAGAGAACTATAGCTGCAGTAGGTTTATGTCAACATTGATGTCTCTAATGCCATAGAAACAGAGGACACAGTTTCCTTCTGATCAACACCGTCAAAACCTTTCCATTAGAAAGGTCTCATAGAAGAGCTTATGCTTATCCCTGCAGAATACTGTGAATTTGTGGTGAGAGATTCTAGACAGGAATGGCACATTCTGAAAAGGACTAAAGTAGTATATAGAAGAATATATGGAAGAAGGTATGGAAGTATATTTTGTAGAACAGGCAGAGGATGAAATACAACTCTCAAATTAAACTAGAGGCTTTTCAGGTCTTCCCTGCTCTGAATCAATTTTTTTCCTAGTAGAGTATATCAGTGTTGCCTCCATGGACAGTATTTAGCCAGTAACCACAGCTGGAAAACTGTGAGCTTTTGTTTAAAATGCCACAGGAAGGTATCTGATGAGTGAATGGAGAAAATGAGGATAAATTAGATTTTTTTTCCATCCATTGAAACCTGATTTTTTCTAGTGTGCATTTCTTCTGTTCCTTTGTTAGCCATAAGCAGTAGGAAAATCAGAAGGTAAGAGGCTGAGGTTGCCTTTGCTGTCTTTTGCAGACTTTGTTTATCCTCAGCTCCTTTCGAGTCAGGAAACTAGGATTTGCTTCACCCTATACCTGAACTGTACGTCCTCATTTCAGTGGCAGAAGCATAAGAAATTAAACCCCTGGATATGCCTCAGCCAGTCGGTGTTTTATTGCAGCCTTCGTGAGTCATCACTTGACAACGCAAGTGCATTCGGTGAATGTGCTCTTTCTGATGCCCCATACCGGGGATAGATTCCAAATCAATTTTTCAAAGCATTGCTTAAATTTCTTTTCAACTGACCTTTGCCCCAACACACTCACATTTCATGTGGCACTGAATGAACTTTAAGCCCTTCAGTAGAATGTGCCCAGATTTCATCAAGCCTGTGCTGAGTTCAAGTGGAAGAGTTCAGCAAAGAGAACTTTGCCCTTTTTACGTATCTCTCTATTTTTGCTTGTGGCTGCTGAAACTTCATTCCTTTCCTTATTTTTTTTTCTTGTATCCCTCAAGCTCAGCAGTCACAGGTCACTTAAAAATCTGGATCGTCACTTCTTGTATATTCTTAAAAGTGTGCTTTTAGTATCCTGTCCAAAAATTCATACTCCAGCTTATTCCAGAACTTGAACAGTGTCCAGACAGTTTTCATTTTTAGATAAATCAAAAAATTCTGCTTGGGGATTTTCTTTGAAAATCTCATAACTCAATCAGTTTGATTTGATTAAAACCAATTTCTGTAGGCAGTTAAGTGTTCTATAACCAAGAATTCAGCATTGGTTTAAAATCAGCTCTGCTACAAGATAACCAAAGCTTCCAAAATTCTTGTTCAGGTCTAGTTATTCATATACCAGAAGACCAAAAAGTTTCTGTGTTCTTGGCAAATAAGGTATAAAATTGCTTTTGTACTCAAGAGCATATCATCCTATGCCAAAATATATAGAGGCATCTTCATAATATGCAGATGAGCAAATCTGTTTAAATGTTTGCAGAGTGCAAGAATATTTCTAAGTGCT